AGGTTGAAGAAAACTGCTCAGACTGCTCGATGAAAGCCACTTTCATGAGAAGCTGCTGCTGGTCCTTCATGACAATTTGACACTGGTGCTGTTTTTCCATTGCTCTGAACCGAATGAGGGTGAAGAAAGCAGAGGGAGGTGTGCATCAGGAGTCTTCAGCATTCAGAACGTGGAAGGGAAGGTCTTTCATATCTTGATAGTACTGGGTAATATTCCTCACCTGCAGGCATTTGTGGCTCTAGGCTCACTTGTAAACCAGGAGGCCAGAAGAGAACTGTACAATTATCTGGACTAAATCTTCATGCAAAACAGAAAACGATCACCCTTGTTTGATGCATCAGTCCCAACAAAGAGGAACCAAAAGATATGTTTAAACTTGAATGCTGGATTCCAGTGAATTAGAAAGACAGAACCATGAATGAAGCAGAAGATTCTACAGCCTCCTATGTACACAATAATGTATCTTTACTTAAATCCCATTATTATATATGTGGGTGAAAGCTGCTGCCCAACAAAAAGATACAGAAAAAGCAGAAAAGCAGAGACTACTGCAGATATCTCATGCTTCAGAGATCCCTCGTTTACAGGAGAGGTTTGTTGGGCTCAGAGGGACTGGCAGGAGGGGCTGGCATGTGAACTGACTATCCACATAGATGGCTTGAACCCATTTCTGAGTGTGTCCGTCATGTTCGGGAATAAGTGAGAAACTAAATTATAAATAATAGGGCAAGACTGCTGGGAAAGAAATAAATCCCAGTAAACCAGAACAATCAGTTTGTTCTCCAGTGTTTCCTGTACAAGTAATAAAATCTAATAATTGAGTTGCTGTTAACAGTTAATGACCACTGCATTTGTTAATGGACCCAGACAAATGAGAGCAGTTTAAAACAACAAACAGACCATTAGCTGTATTAATGGTTGGCTTGTAGGAGTTAGGGCTCTTATAAACTATATTCTGCAGTTTATAATACCAGCACTTTATAAAATGACCTGGTGTTTTCCAAAAAATAAAAAATAATAAGGATCAGGTGAGCTCCAATGTAGTAGTGGAAAATAAGTATGTATGGTAACTAAGAAAAGCTAATATTAGGCTAAAATCTCTTTTTCTAGTTTGCACTGGAATAAATCAGGATCAATAGCAGACACACAAATCTTGTATGGCTTAAATGAGTGGCAATTCTGCTTTTGATTTCAGTGAGTTTGCAATTGATCCTGTAATTATTATCATTAGAGAGGAATTGGACCTTTTTTTTTTATCCCCCAGACCACAAATGATTCCACACATGGGATATTCAGTCCTTAACAGCTGTCATTATTTAGAGGTTTAACAAGCACTCTTATAGAAAGAACTATAAAAGAGAAGTGGTATAAACAGACTAAAATTAATACAAGAACAAAATAGAGTTAGTTTCTGCTTCACTTGCCTCTACAGCTCTTTCAATTTTTGTATTTTTACAGTATATTTAGCTGCAGTTTCATTTAAAAGAAGTGTCAGTAGCATTTTTTCAATGGTTGTTATGAAAGCCAACGTTTTTCCCTCACTTTACAGACTGACTCCTGAATGTAACCAGTGTCTGGCAGAAATCTGAAGTTGAGCAATTTAAGCATTTGCTCTTAACTTGCCAAATGAGGACGATACTAAATTATTACAGAATTATAGGTTATTGAAGACAGGAATAATGCACACTTTGGTAGGAAAAAGGCTCTAATTTGTGTATAGCTGTAGTGTGAGATGAGGCCAGGTTTAAATCATAAACTTACAACAGAGTTTGGAAAAATTCTTTGGCTTTGTTTGTGGAGCTGAATTGCAAGTTTTCCAGTTAGACCCCCAAAAACATAAGAGAGAAGTTGCATAAACTTATCCTTGTGGTTACTGTGACCTGAAGGAAGAATGCAGGAGTAAACTCAGAGAGTTGTTCCAATCTATGGCCATTCATCCACCTGCAGGGAATGGTGCCTAAGCCAGTCTAAAGAGGTGTCACTCTGTAGTTTTCAGTTAGATATGGAAATTACAGTCCAGAGGAACACAATAGGCTCACCGGGTCCCTCCCAGATTCATCATACCTCAACCATGCTGTTCCATGTCCTCCCTCTGTTGATTCCTCTCAGCTGGCAATCTGTGGTTTAAGAAGTTCCTGAGCCAGGGTTTATCTTATGGTCGGTAGCCACAAGTAAGTCTATCCTCCATAAATATCTAGTCCTTTATGAGGCCACTTATATTTCTGTCCCCCATTTTTGGCAATGAATTCTAAATTATTTTGTGAACAGGTGTTTGCTTCTGTAGGTTTTAAACCTGTGACCTCAAAATTTCTGTGAGTGCCCTTTAGGTCTTGGCTGGGAAAGAATGAAAAACCCTTTCCCGTTCATCCAGTTCACATGGTTTATGACCGTAAAGATGTCTCTCACATTTTCCTCTTCAGTCATTCCTTCCCAGACCCAGAAATCTTAAGCTAGAAATTCTCTCTCCCTTCTCAACCATGTTTTATGGCTTTCATTACCTTCATCATCTTTTTCTGTGTGTTTCCTAGTTCTACTCTGCAGTTTTTCAGATGCAGGGAGAAGTGGGCTTGCACATAATAAATGGTATGGGTGTATCATTTATAAAGTGCCTGAGTGACAGTTTTGACATTGCTGTCAGTTCTGTTTCTAATCATTACCAATAGTCTATTTGTCCTTTTGATTGTTGGTGAGCACTAACCTGTTTTATTCCAGGGGGTTCTCTACCACTATACTAAAATCTTCTCTCAGAGTGGCAGGTTATCAAATCTGCTTGTTTATCCTATAATTTACCCATAATTCAGATTACATTACATTGCCTCCTGTGCTTTATTTTCTATTTGTTGTCATTGCATGTCTTCCAGCACGCTGCTGCTCAGGCACATCAGATCTGTTCATTCTTCTCAGTGGGTTTCTGGAACAACTCTGTGTCATCAGCCGACTGCTCAGGAAACCATCCAGCTTGGCAGGCAACACTGGGAAAAGCCCAGCCTACCTGAACACTGGAGAGCACAGAATGAATCACTGTGCCATGCCTGGAGCTCAGTCTCTGAGGTGCTGCAGAGGAAGAGGAGGGAATCCATGCTCCTGCAGACCTGCCTGGCTCCCCGAGCAGTGCAGGGATGATCAGTGCTGTCATCAGCAGATGGTGCTGCTGCATTCAGCCTCCCAGGGTCATTGTGTATAGGGATGTTTTGATTCCTGGAAGAAAAGACTGAACTGGGGATGGTTTTCCACCGTGCAGATGTCTGGAGGGTAGGAAGGGTATGTTATGACTTTATGTCACTCCTCAGTTCTCTTTGAGCTTTGGGTTTTGGCTGGGAGTTCAGAATAGGAGTGTGTTCAGAAGCTGTTTGCGGTGATCTGTTCCAGAATGTTCCAGTGTTTGAGTGGATAAACAAAATCAATTAGATTCACATCATATGCATCCACATGACTGATTTTAACTCCAGCAGAAAACTGGTCAGCAATGAGTACTGATGCTCATTAGAAATACTTACAACTCGTCAGTTTTTTTCCCTAAGTTTTACAATAGTTGCTGTTTTTTTTAAAAGTCCAGGTACAGAATAATGCTGTCACATGGGACTCCAATGCAGGAAGAGCAAATGAGCAGCACGTTTGGGTGCAAACCCTTCCAAACCTTTTCTAAGGCCAAGGATACACCAAGCTCAGCCAAGATCAGAGAGAAGGATTCTCCACAATGACTGGCCCACGCAACCCAGCTCTGTGCTGGCCATGGCCCAGAGCACCTTCCCACAACCAGGAGGCAAAGGCATACTGCCATGACTGAAAAAGCTCAGAGAGATAAGATGACATAAGGGTGTGGATGAAGGCCTTTTACCTTCCAGCTGTTCATGAGAGCTTTGGGGCTCTCAGGTGGACAGAGATGCTCCTGCTCAGACCTCTGCTGAAAGGTGGGTGACACACCCTGCTGGCAGCTGCTTGGCTTGGTCTCTGCAGGTACAGGCAGAAGCCAAGGCTGCTCTTCAGAGCCTTCCCCCTTCCCCTGCCCTTCTCCCAAGTGCCATGGGACACAAGGTGTGAAAGGACCACCGAGAGCCAGAGGGAGACATTTGGAGCTACCTGAGGGAGAACTCTCTGGGAAGCACTTCCCTTGAGAAGCAAGCCCTTTGTCTGCAGAGGGATGACCCAAATCTGTAGTTTCCTTGGGGAATGCCAGCACCCACTTAAGAAAGGCTGGCAAGGCTGAATTCCTTCCAGTCCTTTGAGAACAGGCACTCCAGCTCCAGCTCCTATTGCTTGCAGTGTGTTCTGCAGGTTCAGAGTAGTGGCCTTCAGTGTGTCCATGCAGATCTTGAAGTGCACTTAATGTTGTGGCAGTGGCCCTTCAGGACAGGGTCCTTTGCAGCCTGCAGTGCCCTTGTCCCTGTGTGTGTGCCCACGGCGCAAAGGAGTAAAAGCAAGGCAGGATCGGCCCGTGAGCTGCAGGGCTGGGGGTTTGTGCCTTTTGAGTTCCACAAAGATGCAGCTCAGGTGGAGAAAGCGAATGCTTTATTAACTTAAAGGGGAAGGGGAGGGATGAACTTTTCTTAAGCTATACGGAAGGGAAGGTATGAACTTTTTTTTAACGTAAGGGGAAGGGGGGGATGAACTTTCTTAACATAAGGGGAAGAGAAGGGATGAACTTTCATAACGTAAGTGGAAGGGAAGGGATGAACTTTCTTAACCTAAAGGGAAGGGGAGGGATGAACTTTTCTTAACCTAAAGGGAAGGGGAGGGATGAACTTTCTTAACCTAAAGGTAAGGGGAGGGATGAACTTTCTTTAGCTAAGGGGAAAGGGAGAGATGAATTTTCTTAACCTAAGGGGAAGGGGAGGGATAAAGTGTGGGCAGGAGAAGGGAATGGAAGGGAGGGAGCTGTCCATAGAGGTGGGGAGGCCAGGAGGTGCGTGGCTTTGCTGGCTTGTTCAGGTAGGCCCATCATCTTGTCCCTTGGTCGCCCGGTGCTGTTGGAGGGACGCTGGTTGTGTCGGGGCAGAAGATTACTTTCTCACTGCCCGTCGAAAAGCGGACAAGACTGCAGTCCGCATGGTGGAGTAGGAGGGGCAGTCATCTTCATTTATGACTTGGAGGGCTGGAAGAGAGAGGAACAGAGCCACGGTCAGAGCCTGGGACTCTGCAGGGACCCGAGGAGCCCCTCCTGCCAGGGCCATCGCAGCCAGCTCTGGCCATGGGCAGGAGGGAGAAGGGGCCAAGAGGATGAGCCAGAAGGTGCTGGCCCCAATTCCCCCTCCGTGCCAGTGAAATGTGTCCTTGCTCTGCCCACAGCACCCATTGTCCATGCAGGGAGCAGAGCCCCGTGCAGGTGGGTCAGGGATTGCAGCTCCCTGCCCAGGGTCTGTGCTCCTCCCCGCCAGCCCCCAGTGAGAGCCCGCTGTCCTCACTCACCCATCATGATGGGCTGCAGGTCTTTCATGTGCCAGGCTGCGACCCCTGGGAACAGAGAGCGTGTCAGGGCCCCAGTGGCACAGCTGGGCTGGGGCCGAGGTGCTGCGGGGCGGGGAGGGAGCATGGGTTTGTGGCTCACCCATGAACCTGACAGCCAGCTCTCTCAGGGGCTGCTGTGGGCTCTGCAGGTAGGGCAGAGCCCGGTGCAGGTGCTCGTCCCTTCGGCTCATGTCCTTGTCCATCTGGAGAGAGCAGCAGGACACGGAGGGTTGGCTGAGGCTCTGCCCCTTTTCCAGGCACTGCCTGTGCCCAGCACTGGCCTCCCCTTCCCGCACAGCCCTGAGGCCCAGGCAGCAGCCACTTGGGCTGGGCTTTGGAGGGAGCAGCGGGCTGGGTGCTCCTGGGGTTTCCCTGCCCCACAGCCCAGCTGGCCATTGGCTCCAGTGGCCTCCTGGCTTGGGGGCAGCGGAGAGTGGAGAAGAGCCCGCATGACCGAGGGAAGGGAGCAGCGTGTGGGGTGCAGGCTGGTGTCCCACAGGTGGGTTCAGGAGTGGGAAGGGCACAGGGCCAGCCCCACACATTGGGCATCGAGGGCTTGTCCAACCTGTGGCTGGGCCTTATGGGGTTGTCCTTACCAGGCAATCACAGAACTCCAGGTGCTGATTTTTCCTCAGGAGCTGCTCCAGATCCCTCCTCTTGAGAGAACTTGCAGCACAAAGGAGCGTTTCCCGAGAGGCCTGCAGAGCAGCAGAGACTGGGACATGGCACCACAGCCCAGGGCATGGGACCTGCATCCCTGGCCAAAGCCAAGAAGACCCTGGAGCCCATCAGGCACCAGGACAGGAGGCAGCTGAGCCCCCTGCCATGGGGACACCACAGCCCACAAGTGCTCACCTCTGCCACGCACTGGGTCTCGTCATGGCAGTGGAAGAAGAGCGGCACCAGGCTCTGGTGCAAAATTCTCTCCTTTCCCTCTTCCGCTACCAACTCCATCACCTCTCGGAAGAGGCGAATGGAGAGCAGCTGCACATGGCTGTTGTCCTGGGGCAGAAGAAGACAAAAAGACCTCAACACTGTCTGTTCCAGGCCCACCAGGCACAGGCCTTAAAATGCACATGTCACAAAGTTCCCTGGCAGCACCAGAGCCTTACGTTGTCAAACAGTGGCTGGAGTGCCTCAGCCAGCTTCAGGGCAGCGGAGCCGAATGCCTGAAGGTCTTCATCCCGGAGCATGTTCAGGAAGACAGAGAGGGTCATCCTGACCAGCTCGGTGTCTTCATGATGCAGCAGCTCCAGGAGGCTTTCAGCCAGGCTGCAGACGCTGTCGGCCTGTGTGGAACACAGTGCTGTGCTGTGAAGCCCTGAACAGCTGCCCCACCAACAGCTCTCTGGTGCTGCAACCCCACGCTGCTGCCCCGGGGCCCAGAGGACAAAGGTCTGTCCCCCAGGCCCTGGGCAGCTGAAGAGGGAGGCAGGAGAGCTGGGAGCAGCTGCCACAGCTCCCGAAGCCCAGCCAAGCCCAAGCTACTGCTTTTCCCAGCCCCAGGCTGCCAGTGTGGCTTCAGCCGGGTGTCCCCTTCTCACCATTGAGGGATCCACGCTGAGAACCAGGAGGCCTCTCAGTGCCAGGCGCTGCCTGTCAGGGCACTGGCTCTGCAAGTTTCTTGATAGGATGGGCAGGACCGTGTCGTGACACCTTCTCCCATCCAGATAGTCCAGGATCTGGAAGGCAGAGAGCAGTGAGGGGCTGGATGGGCAGCAGGAGCCCGGAGTCACCCAGGGCTGTGCCCAGGCAGCAGCACAGGGCACAGGCACCATCCCACCAGCTGTGGCTGTGAGAGGGCAGAGAGGGGAAGGCAGGCAGGTTCAACAGTGCTCTCCATCAGGCTCACCTCTACAAGGAACGCCAGGGCAGGCACCTCCCATTGGGGTTCCTCCCTGCTGAGCATCCTGAGCAGGTGGATTGCCATCTCGCAATGGAAGGGGACAAGGACACGTCGCATCTCCCTGTCAGGAGGAGAAAAGGAGCCATCGAGCTTGTGGCAGGCGGGCAAAGCTCTCCAAGGACTGACTCACAAAGGCCTGGAATTTCCCCAATATCCCTTGACAGAACAGGGGTGCTTTGGGAGATCACTCCACCTGTGCACCCAGCTCTCACAGCCATTTCCAATCTTCTCAGCCATCCCTTGGTGCCAAGGCCATCTGGCCCACACCCACAGGGGCTGTGTGGTGTTCCCCATGCACAGGGGAGAGATGACAGGGGCAGTGGAGAGAAGGGTGTCTCACCTGGCCAGCAGCCCCACTGCATAATGGTGGGTGTCAGAATAAAGCAGTGTCTCCCAGCCACGCTGTTGTTCAATGGCCACCACCTCATTCTCCCAGTGCAGGCGGCAGAGCAGGGCCTTCAGGGTCTGTACTGCAAACCTGTGTGCAGAGCAAAGGCCAGGTCATGCTGGGAGCCCAGACCCCATCCACAAGGGCATGGGAGGGATAGAGGACAGGGATGGAGCACCTGCTGGGGTTGGTGGGAAGGCCATGTTCCTCCTGGCATCCCCTCCAGAAAGCATTGACCTCCTCTGACATCTGCTCTGTGCTCATGGAAATTTGGAAGAGCAGAGACAAGAGGAGGTGTGGGGCATGATTGATCATGGCCTCTTCGCACTCGGGCTCTTGGATGATGTACCACAGTGCCAGGGTTGCCTGCAATAAAACCACGCAGAGACAGCGCTCAGTGTGAGATGTCCATGTGGCAGGGCCTGAGCGTGGGAGGGAGAGGCCAGGGAGACCCAGGGGGAGCAGCCAGTCTGGTGCCCATGAACCTGCCCCTCTGCCACATTTGTAGCCCAGCGCCTGAGACAGGGAGATGCAGTGGTGGGGGAGGCAACTTGGGCAGGAGTACAGGCCAATTCCAGAAACTCACAGCCAGGGCAAAGATGCCTGTGTTGTTGTCATCAGAGGTGGACACGCCTTGCACTGGCCAGTCCTGCATTGCTGCAAGCAGTGATGGCAGCACCTTCTCCACTGCTGTTCTCGAGGAGGCGATGCTGCTCCACATCACTGCAGCAGCTCTGTGGAGACAGAACTCTGGGTCAGGAGGGTCTCAACCACAGTGCCATGGCCAGGGCAGGTGTGGGGGCCCAGGTGACAGAGCCACTGTGCCTTGAGGGACAGGGAGGGCACATGGCAGCAGGACTGGGGGCTGACAGGCCAGGGCTGGGAAATGGAGAGGTCAGAGGGTTCTGGAACTCTGTATCTGTCTAGTAGACCAGGTGGGACGGGCTCTACAGGGTGATGGGTTCTAAGGTTGCTGAGCCCTGAGCCACCAAGGCAGCTGAGCCCTGTACCTGTCACACTCTGGGGCACAGTGCAGGAGGGTCATCACGACCTCCTGAGGGTTTCTGTCAGCGAGCCTGCAGATGTCAATGTGCTGCCTGACATCTGGAGACAGGTGGAAGGTGAGGCACTGGTGGATGTACCTCACAAGGGCTGGCACCTGGAGAAGAAGTAGGGGAGAGTGTGAGAGCTGCCAGAGTGAGCAGGTTGCCCAGCTTCCCCCAGGAAATGCTTCCCTTCCCACCACACTGTGCAGCCTCAAAGGCTTAGGGGGCCCAGCAGACCCGGCTTGAGGTGCCATAAGAGTCCTGGTGAGCAGGAGCCCTGGGCACACGGCTGCTTGCCTGCTTGCTTCTGATTTGAGACACCTTTCTCCTCTAAAGAGTTCAGACTGGCAGCTGTATTGGGTTTCTTTTGCCAGGCCTTGGTAGTGGGGGTTCTACAGGGGTGGCTTGTGACAGTGGTTGGATGCCCAAAAGTGGCTGTGAGCCCATGGGAGGCTCGTGCTGGAGCTGGGTCCTGACAGGGACCTGCTGCACATGGAGAGAGGAGCCCACAAAGGAGCAGGTTTCCCTGGCAGGACCCACAGTGGAGCAGCTTGTTCCTGAAGGACTGCACCCCATGGAGATACCTGGATAAGATGCAGCTCAGCCCCCCGCTACAGGAACACCACAGCCCACAAGTGCTCACCTCTGCCCAACACTGCTTCTCATCATCCCAGTGGAAGAAGGGGACCAGGCTCTGGCACACATCTGTCTTTCCCTCTTCTGCTACCATCTCCATCACCTCTCGGAAGAGGCGAATGGAGAGCAGCTGCACATGGCTGTTGTCCTGGGGCAGAAGAAGAGAAAAAGATCTCAGCACTGGCTGCTCCAGGCCCACCAGGCACAGGCCTGAAAATCCACAGGGCACAAAGTTCCCTGGCAGTACCAGATCCTTACATTTTCAAAGAGTGGCTGGAGTGTCTCAGCCAGCTTTGGAGCAGCGCAGCCGAATGTCTGAAGGTCTTCATTCTGGAGCACATTCAGGAAGACAGAGAGGGTCATCTCGACCAACTCTCCATCTGCCTGATGCAGCAGCTCCAAGAGGCTTTCAGCCAGGCTGCAGATGCTGTTGGCCTGTGTGGAAGGAACACAGTGCTGTGCTGTGAAGCCCTGAACAGCTGCCCCACCAACAGCTCTCTGGTGCTGCTACCCCACACTGCTGCCCTGGGACCCAGAGGCAGAGGGAGGCAGGAGAGCTGGGAGCAGCTGCCACAGCTCCCAAAGCCCAGCCAAGCCCAAGTGACTGCATTCCCATCCCCACGTTTCCAGTGTGGCTTCAGCCGGGTGTCCCCTTCTCACCATTGAGGGATCCACACTGAGAACCAGGAGGCCTCTCAGTGCCAGGCGCTGCCTGTCAGGGCACTGGCTCTGCAGGTTCCTTGATAGGATGGGCAGGACCCTCTCACAACACTTTCTCCCATCCAGATAGTCCAGGATCTGGAAGGCAGAGAGCAGTGAGGGGCTGGATGGGCAGCAGGAGCCCGGAGCCACCCAGGGCTGTGCCCAGGCAGCAGCTCAGGGCGCAGGCACCGTCCTGGCAGCTGTGGCTGTGAGAGGGCAGAGAGGGGGAGGCAGGTGGGCGAGGCAGCTCTTGCCATCAGGCTCACCTCGACAAGGAACGCCAGGGCAGGGAGCTCCCATTGGGGTTCCTCCCTGCTGAGCAGCCCGAGCAGGTGGGTTACTGTCTGGGAATGGAAGGGCACCAAGACACGTCGCATCTCCCTGTCATGGGAGAAAAGGGATCCATTGAGCCTGATCCGGGTGGTCAAAGCTCTCCAAGAACAGACTCACAGAGGCCTGGACCTTCCCCAGCAGCCCAGCATGGGATGTGGGCACTTTGGGAGGTGGCTCCTCCTGTGCACCCAGCTCTCACAGTCTTTTCCAGTCTGCTTGGCCATCTCTTGGTGCCAAGGCCATCTGGCCCACACCCACAGGGGCTGTGTGGGGCGCCTGGTGCCAAGAGAAAGACAACAGGGGCAGTGGGGAGAAGGGTGTCTCACCTGGCCAGCAGCCCCACTGCATAATGGTGGGTGTCAGAATAAAGCAGTGTCTCCCAGCCACGCTTCCGTTCAATGGCCACCACCTCATTCTCCCAGTGCAGGCGGCAGAGCAGGGCCTTCAGGGTCTGTACTGCAAACCTGTGTGCAGAGCAAAGGCCAGGTCATGCTGGGAGTCCTGGCCCCAGCCCCGAGGGCATGGGAGGGATAGAGGACTGGGATGGAGCACCTGTTGGGATTGGTGGGAAGGCCATGTTCCTCCTGGCATCCCCTCCAGAAAGCATTGACCTCCTCTGGCATCTGCTCTGTGCTCATGGAAATTTGGATGAGCAAAGCCACGAGGAGGTGTGGGGTGTAATTGAAAACTGCATCTTGGCACTTGGGCTCCTGGATGATGAACCGCAGTGCCAGAGTTGCCTGCAATAAAACCATGCAGAGACAGCGCTCAGTGTGAGATGTCCATGTGGCACGGCCTGAGCGTGGGAGGGAGAGGCCAGGGGAGACCCAGGGGGAGCAGCCAGCCTGGTGCCCCTGAACCTGCCCCCTAGTCACATTTGGAGCCCAATGCCTGAGGCAGGGAAATGCAGTGGTAAGGGAGGCGACCTGGGGAGGAGCAAAAGCCACTTCCAGAAACTCACAGCCAGGGAAGAGGCGTTTGTGTGGTCGCCATCAGAGGTGGACACGCCGTGCACTGGCCAGTCCTCCATTGCTGCAAGCAGTGTTGGCAGCACCTTCTCCACTGCTGTTCTTGAGGAGGCGATGCTGCTCCACATCACTGCAGCAGCTCTGTGGAGACGGAAATCTGGGTCAGGAGGGTCTCAACCACAGTGCCATGGCCTAGGCAGCTGTGGGGGCCCAGATGACAGAGCTACTGTGCTTTGATGGATAGGGAGTGCAAATGGCAGCAGGATTGGGTGCTGAGAGGCCAGGGCTGGGAAATGGAGGGGTCAGAGGGTCCTGGAACTCTCCATCTGTCAGGCAGACCAGGTGGGACAGGCTCTACAGGGTGATGGGTTCTAAGGGCTGCTGAGCCCTGAGCCACCAAGGCAGCTGAGCCCTGTACCTGTCACATGCTGGGGCACAGCGCAGAAGAGTTGTCACCACCTCACTTGGGTGTGCCTCAGCGAGCCTGCGGATGTCAGTGTGCATCCTGACATCTGGAGACACGTGGGATGTGAGGCGCTGGTGGATGGACCTCACAGTGGCCGGCACCTGGAGGGAAAATGGGGGAGAGTTGCAGAGTTCCCCGAGCAAGGAAGTTGCCCAGCTTCCCCTAGGAAGTGCTTCCCTTCCCACCATACTCTGTGGCCTCAAAGGCTTAGGGGACCCAGCAGACCCGGCTTGAGGGGCCACAAGATCCCTCTGGCACTTGAGCCCTGGCAGCAGGCTGCTTACTTCCTTCATTCTGGAGACACCTTTCTCCTCAAAAAATTCCAGATGGGGAGCATCAGGGACACTCTGAGTTGCCGTGGTGTCAGCCTCTTCGATGCCCTCAGTTGTGATGTCATCGTTCGCCTTGAGATCAGTTGGTTCTGTTTCATTGTTGATTGTGTCAGCGGTCAAGGCAGTCTCAGGGTTTTCTGTGCCATCCATCAGTGCCGTGACTGAGCTTGAAGTGCCATCAATCGGCACTGGTGCGATGTCAGCCTTGGCCACGATCTCAGTGTCAGTGCCGGTTGTGTCACCAGCCAAAGCGGTGTCAGGCTTTGCTGCGCTGTCCATCGGTGCCACGTCACAGTCTGTTGTGCCATCAGTCGGTATCAGTGTGATGTCAGGCTTGGCCATGGCATCAGTCACTGTGGTGTCAGAGCCGGTTGTGTCATCATCCTCAGCGGTGTCAGGCTCTGCTGTGCAATGAACTGCTTTGATGTCAGCTTCAATGGCCAGTGCATTGTCAGGGTTTTCCATGTCTTCGATTACAGAGGTTTCAGAGGTTTCCTTGTGTTCCATGGGCTCTCTGCTGACATCAGGCTTGATCTCAGTTGGCCTGGTGTCAGGCTCTGCCATGAGCTCAGGTGGTGTGCTCCGGGGTGTTCTACGCCGAATGCCCATGAACTTCAGAAACCTCTGCAGGAGAGCAAAGGGCAGGGAAGAGAGGAAAGTCAGACAGAGCGCTCCACCAGCGGTGCCAGGCTGAGCAGGGACAGCAGGCCCAGCCCAGGTGGCGATGGCTGCAGGTACCTGAACTGCTCTGCGGAAGCGTCCACGGGGGCGGTCCTGCTGCTCTGTCCGCTCCTGGCCTGGGTCTGCCAAAGAGCGAGTGCAGTCAGAGCTGAGGGGCTGCAGGAGAGGCTGGGGAACACAGCCCAGCCCTGCACTCCAGAGTCAGGGACAGCCCTGGGATGCCCAGTGAATGGAGCACGGATGCTGGGGTGGTCAAACGTGGCCCCTCTTCCTGCCTCCCTTTCCCTGGGCGTGTCCACAGGGGATGGAAGGGTCCAAGCTGGCTGCAGCCACCAGCCCTGTGGCCCAGGTCCAGCACTCACCTTGCTGCAGGGGCTGGAAATGCTGTATCTCCTCAGGTTGCTGTGCTGGGGCAGCCCCAGGGCCTTCTCTCCTCCTCTTTGGCCTGAGCAGCCTGCACATACCAGAGCGTCTCCCCGCCATCCTACACGTTGACCTCGAGGACTCGAGAGACGCCTCGGAAAAGACCCTGGTTGCCAAGTGTCACAGAGTGTCTTCAAGGGCACCTTCCACAGGGAGTGGAGATGCCTGGGAAAACCTCCAGATCACAAAGTCTGGTGGTCTGGCCTCGAGGGCACCTTCCACAGGGACTGCAGGTGACCAAGTCCCGTGGTCTGGCCTCGAGGGCACCTTCCACAGGCACTGGTGATGCCCAGAAATACTCTGGGTCACCAAGTGCCTGTGGCCTGGCCTCGAGGGCCACTCCCACAGGGAGTGAGGATGCCTCGGAAAAACCTCCGGGTCACCGACTCCCGTGGTCTGGCCTCGAGGGATCTTGCTACAAAGAAAACTCTCGGAAATGCTTCGGGTCAGTAAGGAACGAGTTGGCTGCGAGGAGACTCCTCACAGCACCGCTCTGTCCCATCCTGTCCAGACGCGTGCTCCGAGCACTGTGGCGTGGCCGCGTCGCCGCCAACACCAAGATCACGGGGTGTCACAAAGGGCCTTGGACACCCTGCCCTGTCCCATCCCATCGGCAACGGCTGCCATGTCACAAAGGGCTCTGTGACACACGGCCACGTGCCCTGGGGCCTCCCCCAGCATGGCCAACCTGCCCCAGGTTGGAAGGAATGCATTCCTCAAAGCATCTGAGACAGCTGGATGTGAACTTTAGGCATGGCTGCAGAAAGGAGCAAACACTCCCCTCGTGTGCCTGCTCATGGCAGCAGAAGGAGCCCCCTCTGCTGCCGACACAGCCGCAGCAGGAAGGGCATGGGGCCTCCACAGAAGCTGGCACGGCCTCCTTGGGAGAAGTCCTGCTGGTGGCCATCATAAACACAGGGTGGGTGACACAGAGGAGCAATGTGTGGACAAGGGCACGATGCTGCTCTGACCACTTTCCCCCGGGCTGCACCAAAATCAGCAGCTCTGGCAAGTCCCAGCCCAAAGAAACCTGCCCAAAGAGTCCTGGCAGGGGGATGCCCGTCTCCTGCCCCAAAGATCTGCACCCCTGGGGCCTTCCCTGCCAGAGGGCAGCCAAAGCCAACAGGCATTGATGACTGTGCTCTTGCAGGGGGCTGTTGGGAGGAGCTCCTGCAACAATTTGTGGCAATGCTTGGCATCTGTCAGAAGGCAGAAGCTGTGGCTCCTTGCTGGAATGATTTCTTCATGGAAGTGATTACCTGCAGCACAAAAACATCTTTGTTGTTAAGGCACTGAAGAATCTGGCATTTAATAATCCTACATTCAGGAAAGCATTACTTCCCATTACTCAACTCAGGGAGTTGAAAGAAGTGGCAAACTTTGCAGTTTAAGTCACTTGGGAGGACCTGAGAACGTCACAGATTTGGAAGTTTGCTTCCCCTCTCCAACCGGCAACTCACTTGCCTTCACACAGTCCATTTAGAATAAAAAACCTAAACAGAAGCCAGAATCCTGGGCTGTGTTTGGTTTGTAAAGGGTTTTCTATTAAGGGATAAATATAGAAGTATTCTGGTAAGGGATGAAAACTCTGAAGGAACAAAAGTTCCCTCAGTGTTCCAAAAGCACCCCAAACAAAGCAGGATGTTGCAAAAACATTAATCCTCCCTCTGGTGCAGGTAGCTGACTGGCTGGGAAAGCCTTTGATAGACTGTAAGCCAAGCAAAATCTGTATTGGGTGATTTGGAGTTGAGTGAGCAAGTGCTCCAGCCTTTGTAAGATCTTGCAACTCATCCTATGGACACTCAGGTGGGGTGCTTTAAAGTTCAGGCTGTCTTGGAATCTTGCCTGCAGCCATGAGCCAGTCCCAGGGAAGTCTTCTAAGAACTGTGGGTTGCTCTTGACGGTGAGGGTGGATTGTGTCCTGGTTCTTATGGAATCCAAGGGACAGCTCTAAGTAAGAAGGAGAGATAGGCTGAAAGTGCCCAGTGACAACTAGTGATGCTCATGAGAGGGGAGATAAGGGCCTTTTTTACCTGAGGGTGTCATGAAAGCAGGTGAATCAAGACACTGAAGTGAGAGCAGATACACAGATGACAAAAAGAACTGTTTCTTTCGGACCAGCTGACTGCTGTGGGATGGAGGAAGGCAAAAAGGGATGAATACTCAAACCAGGGGAAATAAAATGACCCAGTATGAGCACAGCTCATGGTAGAATGCATTTCACATGGAACATCAGTGTCCTTCCCCCAGAACCCTGCCTCATCCAAAACCCCCCAAATAAATAAATCTTCGAGTCTTTGATGAGAAAAGAGGATTCTGTGTTTACTTGGCCATACCTGCGGTTAAAAGATCTGGAGCTGTTCACTGCTGGACACAAGATCCCAAGCATGTGGTGGCTGGATGCTGTACAGTTTTGCAATTTCTAAGGTGAAGTCTGTGTTCCTCTCCAGGCTGAGCTGTCCTATGCGAGCTGAAAAAATCTTCCACGCTTCTTTTCTCCAGTTAATAGGGACAGATCAAGGAACTTAAGAACCTCGGCAGCAGGCATGTCAGAAATCTGATTTAAGAGTCTAGCAGGGTTTCTGGCAGAAGGGCTGCTTCCCTGTGAGGAAGGATGACATTACTGAAGCTGTTCCCCCTGCTCGCTCCACAGGAGGCAAGGGGAAGCCCCCTGGTCTGTCTGAGGCTGGAAGGAGCCTTGGCTTGGTGCTCCTGCAAAATGTGGAACTCTAGAAGGAAAGAGCATGGAGAAGGGGGCAAGGAAGAAAAGGGGTAGGAAAGCAGGGGCAGTCTGCTCTGGCATGGGTAGAATGGGAAAGATGAAGGGTTGAGGTGAGAAGAGTGGTCTGGAAAAGTACAAGAAAAGAAACAAGGGAAGAAACACCCCACAAAAAAAGGCTGCAAGGTCTCAGCCAGCCTGGGCACCGTCCAGCTCCACTGGGGCCGTTCAAAGGACCACATCTCAGGCATTGCAACCTCACTGGAACGATGTCAGCCAAGCAGTGCCACAGGGAAAGCAGGATTGCCTTGTTCCCTACCCAGTTCAGCCCATTTTGCTGTGAACTTTGGAAAGCAATTCAAACTCTTTTCATTCCGACTTTATTAACAGTTTGCCATCAAAGCCCCCAGGAAACGCGCCCCCAAACAAAGCCTGCACGCCGAGTGCCTAAGACGTTAATGAGCTGCAATTAATGCCCAAGCGGCAGAGCTGTTCCAATAAAGTTTCCAAAGGCCAAGCCAGTGCATCCCGGTGTGCTCCTCCGTGCGGGCGGCTGGGGCAGCGCTGCTCGGGGTCAGTGCTCTGGCAGTGCAGGTTCAGCCCTCGCCGGGAGATGCGGAGCGGGGGCGTTGGAGCCCGGGGGCGGTGCGGAGGTTTGTCCCAGCCTTGTCACCGGCTGGGTGTCCCCGCTAGGGTTCTCGGGGCGGGACGGGACGAAAGCGAGCGGGCCCATGCCCAGCCCGGGCCCATGCCCGCGGCTTCGCGGCTCCTCCCGCCCGGCACCGCCCCATGCCCAGGTGTCCCCGAGCCCAGCGCAGCCGGGCTGAGCCGTGCTGAGCCGAGCAGAGCTGAGCGGAGCCCAGCTGCGGTGAATCGCGGCGCTCCCCTGTGCAGGAGGAGGCCGGGCCGGGCGCGGAGCGGCTGCGGGAGGCGGGCGGTGCGCGGGGGGCGGCAGTTCCGCAGCCCCGGCATGGCCCGGGGGCGGGCGCGGTGCCGCCGCCCGGCCCCCTGAGGAGGCGCGGCGGGGCTGCTGCCGGCCCGGCAGGACAGGCTTGGGGCGTGTCCCGGCGGGAGAGCGCTGGGGCTGTGCTCCGGGCTCCCGGCGGGGCCGGCATGTCCGGAGCCATGAAGTTCAGCGGCGACCTGAAGGTTCGCATCGGGGAGGCGGTGGGGCTGCAGCCCACCCGCTGGTCCCTCCGGCACTCGCTCTTCCGCAAGGGCTACCAACTACTGGATCCCTATGTCACCCTCAGCGTGGACCAGGTGCGCGTGGGGCAAACCAGCACCAAGCAGAAGACCAACAAACCCACCTACAACGAGGAGTTCTCGGCCACGCTCTCCGACGGCCATCAGATCGAGCTCTCCGTCTTCCACGACACCCCCATGGGCTACGATGACTTCGTGGCCAACTGCACCTTGCCTTTTCAGGAGCTGCTGCGCTCCGCCGGTCCCAGCGACAGCTTCGAGGGCTGGGTGAGTGGCCGCTTGGTGTGGGGGAGAAGCTGAGCCGGGCTCCTCTCGCAAGTGAATGGAGGCGCCCGAAGGGGACTGTCAGAGCTGGGGACCGTAAGAGCCAAAAGTCCCAGGTGTGGTAGTTGGAGGGTGCAGCCGCTGGAGCAGGGGCTGTGAAGTCTGTCCTCTTTGGAGACTAGCAGAAGACTTGGAATAGATAACTCAGAGGAAGATGTCCATTCCTCGTCTTGCTTAGCACTGCACAGACACGTACTTGGAGACTTGGATAGCTGGGGTTGTGTTTCTGCTCAGCTCTTCACATGCTCGCACAGGAGTTTGATGTGTGCATGCAAATTTGTCTGCCTTCTTCCCAGAATGGCAGGACTGGCCTTGTGTCTGTTGTGTCCAGCGTTGTGCTGGGTGAACACAGTTTCACTTCGAGCTCGTTCTGGGTTATTACCAAGTCAATGTCACTTGCATCGAGCCCAGAGAACCTCCTTGATGCCTTAGTCCTGATGGCAGAGAAATAGCACAGGCTCTAAAGTTGCACCTTTGCTTCCTGTAGAGGACTGTAAAGGAGGAGCAAGTGATTGTGTTGATCCAGAGAGTAGTTTGCTTAAAAGCAAGAGTTAGTGGGGGAAAAGGCATTTCTTCAGAGCAGAGAAGGTGCAGAAGAGATGAGAATTTTTGAGGCTAAGCTAGATATCAACATTTTGAGGCCAAGAAGCTCAGCATGTGCAGTCAGGTAAGCAGCAGAATAAATCAGAGGGGCAAAAAGGATCCTATCGCAGGGAGATGAGTGGTGCTTTCTGCTGTGAGCCAGGGTCTGTGGCTGAGGTGTGATGCTTCAGCTTTGGGGTGCTTAGAGGGATTGATGGATAGGTGTAGA